TGCTGGCTGTCTCGAATCACCTCCCTGTCCTGCATGTGCCTTAGCATAGCTTCCAGGAGGATCTGTTCCATGATATTCGCAGGCACAGAGGTGAGACTGACTGGCCTGTAGTTCCCTGGGTCTTCCTTTTTTCCCTTTTTAAAAATGGGGGTTATGTTTCCCCTTTTCCAGTCAGTGGGAACTTCACTGGACTGCCACGACTTCTCAAATACGATGGATAGTGGTTCAGCAACTTCATCTGCCACTTCCTTCAGGACCCGCGGTAACTTTTTTAAAAGATGTGAAGTTTGCATTGCTTGGGGTTTTTTTGAATATGAAGAAATTAGATGACTAGAAGTGAGCATAAATGCAGGTGTTCAGGGTTTCAATTGTCAATGTCTTTGATTACTTCTGGTCAGATCCCAACATGGGGGGGGAAAAAAAAAACCATCATGTCTATAAACCTGTATCTTAATATCCAGTTTTCACACAAGTGTTGTGGCCAGCATCTAAATGAAGAGGAGAGAGAACTCTAGCATTCGTTTGGAATTCCTTTGGCATGACAGAAAAATAATCAACTTAACAGAATTATATGAAAAATCTTAAATTGGATTTTAACAACTTCTAAAACCGATATGTGATTTTTCTATTGAGGCTTGATTAAAGCAATAACTTGTATTTCCTGATCCAGTTATACTTCATTGTTTTAGTTATAAATGAAAAAACAGTATTCTAAATACGAGAAATTTCTAAGAGGCCCATTCTTCTAAAAATAAAAAAACCTGTGTAGCACAAGTGAACGTGCTTTTTTTTTTTTCCCTGAGTTCAATGACCTCACATCAGAAACTTCTAAAATATCTTTTGCAGTGGGTATCTAAAGAAACTTCATGATGATTACTCAGTGAAGTGGCTCAATGTACCTGGATGTGAAAACATCACTGATACACAATGCAGTTTCTCATCTATCATCACTACTGTTTCTGGATTTTATTATCTCCGTGTGCAGGCCATGAGTGAATATAATACATCATGTTTGTCCAATGAAGTAAAAGTAGATCCTCTGAGAACAAGTAAGCAAATGTGTTTTCTTAAATTTTCATTTCTCAAACTTGTACCAAATGCTATTATTTGCAAAGAGAAACTTGCTAGGTTAATGAAACTGAATACATAGTTCCCCTACAGAAACTGTGTTGGGAATCCTGGCCTCGTCAAGTTCAACAGGAGTTTTTCCATGGCCTTCTCTATTCAGCGCAGCCAGTATTTCGCTATATTTAGAATCGTATCATTTGCTTTACAAAGTTAAACCAAAGCATTATATGGCATTTTATAATCTCATTGTATACTACATTAATCACTGTGTGAGATTGTACTAGAAATATCCCTAGTCTGACTTTTGCCATTGACAGGGAGCACTTCTTGATATCTCAGAAAAACGATGCCAAAGTCAAATAGTTTTGGAATCCACTGTCTCTATTTTCTTGTGCATCTACTCTCATCTCCTCCTTCTCTCTACCCCTGCACAGTGCACCCCTGAATTTTGTGCTGAAACAGTATTACATTGACATACAACCCTGAAGAGCTTCATGAAAAAGCAGTCTTAAATGACAGTGACATCTAAGTCAAAAATATGTAACACTCTCCAGAGTGAAATTGCATATTTCACATTTCTTCAGAGTGAAATTGTAGTAATTTTTCTTTGTTGCACTTTTTTGTGAGAAATGTGACCTTACTAAAATGACTTCAAAAATAGTTGTCAATCATAAATATCAAGAAATGTTTATCTAATATGTAGGGTAATATTCCATTGCCTTCCATATTGAAGATGGAATCAATAGCTACTCTGTATGTCAGCTTTCCCTTGTCCAAGCTCTTGGTAATTAGATAATTCTTCAATAAGATAACAGTGACCTAGGTAAATAATTCAACAAAAGAAAACAAAAACTGTAATGCTTCTCACTTTTCAACTATACTATAACTGTGAAAGAGGGTATATGTGAAAAAAAGGGCCCATATCCTGCTGAGATTAAGAAGTGTTCAGTAGTTTCACTTGGACTTGCACAGAGTTAATCCCATCATCTGTGTATTTCATGTCACTGAAATTTGCAGAAGCAACATATGAATGTGGAAGGTGAAAATAATTGAAATATTTCTCAGGACTCTAGATTCTGAATAAAGCTATTAGTCAAGTTAGACTTTTAAGTACATGTTTCTTAAAAATTGTCATAGATAAAAATTACAGTATTTTATGGAATATTTTTATTTGTATTATTTCGGTCTTATTTTTAAATTTTTTTTTTTAAATTCTTAAGATGAAATTGGCCCTCCTGGTGTAAAGGTGGACATCAGTGATGTTTTGCTCCATATCCAGATTTCTCCTCCAGGAGGATCTGAGAGTGAAGTCATGAGGGACCATTATGACTTGTCTTACCGGGTTCTGTATTGGAAGAATTCATCAGATAATGAGGTATGAACTAGTTAAATACTTAAAACAGTATATAAAATTTGTTACGACTTAAATACTGAGTTTGAGTTCTCCTCAAGAAGCTTATTTTCAAGAGAGGCACGTATATGGTGTATATGCATGTATATGGCACGTATATGCAGTCAATTTGTTTGGTTTTGGGTTTTTTTTCTGAAAGATTCTTTTAAAAATCTGGTCAAGATGACTTTTATCACAAAGTAATAGAGGTTTTAATCTTTTTCCATTGATGTGGCTATGTGTAATGATTTGCAGAATTGCACTGAGTTTTGTACAAGCTGCTAAATGGCTCACTTTTAAATAGAAGTTGTAGCGTTCTTGTGATGCCGTCTTTCTTACAGTATGACTCTGCACTGTCTTAATTAATGTAGCTTCTGGCACCTCAAACTTGTTTCTTTCTGTATTTGCAGTTTTATAGCTATAAGTGTCATAAAACAATGAAGTCTTGCGTGCTTTTAGCTCACGTTTTAATGGATCTTTCCATCTTCTTTAAATGCTTCTCACAGTAAAATATTTTACAGTAATCGGTAAATGTGTATGTGTAAATGCGTGGAAGAAGAGAAGAAAACAAACTGCAACAGGAGGAAGTTTCATTTTGCACACAGCTTTGAACTGTAAAATTTCAGTGTGGTGAAAGCAGTTGGTTCTTGCTAATGAGTGTTTCTGGAATGTGTTTGCTTAGGATAGAGTTGTGTGGTTTCTTTTATTTAATCCAAGTGCAGAAGGGTGTCTAACTTCTTACAGAATTACTTCTTCAGCAGAGGCCAAAATTCTAATCTATTTGAGTGACTGTTGTACTATTTATGTGCATCTTATTCTTCCAATTTTTCTTTTTCAGGAGGAAATCAAAATGAAAGAGATAAAACAGACGATAGGGACAGTCTCTGATCTAACACCCTCGACTTTGTACTGTGTAAAAGTACAAGCATTCTCAGAATTTTACAACAAAAGCAGTCATTACAGCAAAGAGAAATGCATCAGAACACCTGGAGGTAGGAAGAGCTTGGGAATTGTTACACCTCTGGAAGTAAAATTGTTAACCCTTCATAGGCCTTTGCAGGTCTCACTAGTTAAAAAAAATTTGCAGCATGACTTAATGGCCCTACAGAGTTAGCACATAGTTGGGCAGAGATCTGTGCCAGCAGTCAGTCACTTTGCTGCTCTGTATTCTCTCCTATAGCTAAACTAATAAACTGCTTCTGTTCTGACCTGATCAAAATTACATCCTGGTTATTCCACGAAACAACTCAGTTTAGATGTTATCTCAGATTAATAACTAATGACTGTGAATTAAACTTAGTTCTGTACAATGACTTGTTAATAGGCAAGCTTTAATTTCCGGTACTTTCAAGATATTTTTAGGAGGGTGCAAGGAATCACCAAATGCTATGTTTTCAAGAATATTTTATTCTTGAGATTGCCTTAATTCTTCTGTGAATGAATTCCATTTTAAAAAATCCTGTGCTAAAGTGTGAAGGAGACAAATCATCAGAGTCATTATAGCTGAAAGCTCACCTTTGTGCACAATGAGAATACATTTGTAGATGGATTACACTCACTCAGAACATAAGAGCAAGTTATCTGTTGAATTTAATTTGGCCAATTATCTTCTATTAACAGGCTGTAACACTAGAAAAATTACTAAATATCCAAACTGACTTAAAGCTAAGAAAATGTAGTAATAGTAATGCTACTTTCTCACCTCTTAAGCTCTTAGGATTCATTTATATTGTAGTCCTTGCTGCTTTGTCTTTATCAAGCCTAAAAAGAAACAAATGTTACTTTTTTACCTTCATAAGAGAAATTATTTAATCTATTTTGCTAGTTAGTTATTAGTCTTCCCTATATTCTTCTATTATAATGAGCCTATTTAAGACCAAGCAGTACATTCAAGACTCTACATTGAGAGGTGCAGTCATACAGATCGTGCCCTATACTTCCCATCTGTTCTTATATCCCAGTGTGGAAATCCTTCATTCTTTGATCATTCATACTAACTGGAAATAAGAGATAAAAAGACCTGATTGTCTCATCTTGATTATATAAGATAATATATCTCATCTTATTATATATGATATAATCATATCAAGATGATTATAATCATCTTGATTATTTGTAAAGTGTCTCCTGGTATGTATTAATTTTAGTATGTTCAAACTCCCTTCAGTTTGTTTGTTCATTAGAGATAGTACCAGAGAATATGTTGCAAAGCAGAAGAGTGGAGGGGAGAAGGAAGCTTGCAAGACTCTTGAACTTAAGCACTGAATAGCTTATGACTACATAGAAAAAAGGTTTCTTTGACTACAGTATTTTGCTATCAGAAGCTGGATTCTCTCATGTAAACTCCTTCTACCCTAAGGTCCTAACTTTAAGTCCTGGAACTGAGCCTAGCCTGTTAGAAGGTTTTCCAGAGTTCCTGGGTTAATACAGGAATGCAGGACCATAGACTCATAGAACGGTTTGGGTTGGAAGGGACCTTCAAAGATCATCCAGTCTAATCCCCCTGCCATGGGCAGGGCCATATTCCACTAGATCAGGTTGCTCAAAGCCCTGTCTAACCTGACCTTGGAAACTTTCAGTAATGGAGCACCCGCATCTTCTCTGGGCAACCTGTTCCAGTGTCTCACCACCCTCATCGTAAAGAATTTCTTCCTTATGTCCAATCTAAACCTACCCTCTTTCAGTTGAAAACCGTTGCCCCTTGTCCTGTCACTACAGGTAAAAAGTGTTTCTGTCTGTCTTATAGGTTCCCTTTATGTACTGAAAGGCTGCAATAAGGTCTCCCTGGAGCCTTTTCTTCTCCAGGCTGAACAACCCCAACTCTCTCAGCCTTTCTTCCTAGGAGAGGTGTTCCAACCTTCTTGACCATTTTTGTGGCACTCCCCTGGACCCGCTGTAACAGGTCCATGTCTGTCTTGTGCTGGAGGCCCCAGAACTGGACGCAGTACTCCAGGTGGGGTCTCACGGAGTGGAGCAGAGGGGGAGAATCACCTCCCTCCATCTGCTGGCCACACTTCTTTTGATGTGGCCCTGTATACAACTGGTTTTCTGGGCTGCAAGTGCACATTGCTGGCTCACATCCAATTTTTCATCCAGCGGTATCCCCAGGTCTTTTCTCAGCAGGGCTGCTCTCAATCATTCATCCTCTGGTCTGCATTGATACTGAGGATTGCCCCCACCCAGGTGCAGGACCCTGCACTTGGCCTTGTTGAATTTCACAGCATTGGCCCACTCCTCAAACCTGTCAGGGTCCCCTCTGGATGGTGTCCTTTCCCTCTAGGTAACCAACTGCACCACTCAGCTTGGTGTCATCAAGTTGATGACACCATGTTTGAGCATTGAAGTGAAATTCATCTCTCCTTTCTATACTGACAAAGTAAAATCTAGTGCTGAGCTAGTGTCTAAACTACCAGTGTAGAAAATAACTGGAATAGCCTTAGGACTGATTTCTTCTTAGATAAACATCTGAAAGGAATAGATGCTCACTGGAAGGTCCTTTTTCTCTCTATTGGCTGTGTTGTAGTCATCTGAAGCTTACAGTTGGAGTTCCTCTCCTGTCCAAGAAACCACCTGGATGCTTCCGGGCCCCTGAAGACCCTGCAAGTCTAGGCACTCTAATAATTTCCTGGCTAAATAACTATGGGCCAACTTCACTGTAGTAATTGCCTGTTCTTACTCCATAGCCCGTGGGATTTCTTACTCCTGTATCTCTGCCTTTTTAAAGGAGAAAGCTCTGTCAACTACATATTACGTTCCTTGGGGTTAGACCCCAAGGAACACAAGCAATAACGCAATAGATTTACATGCATCAAGCGCTTCATGGTAGCTGTCTATGTGCAGCCTTTTTGTCCTGCTGTCAAATAGTGACATATAACTGGAATATAACTGGGAATAACTGGATCTTGGTTCTGATCCTGTCTGCAAATACCTGCGTTCTTATATTTGGATAAATATTTTGTGCTGTGTTCTTAATAAAATTATCTAAGATATTGGAATGGCATCATTCTTGTAATGATCATCATGGCTGGGTATAGTACTGTGGAAATGTGAAATTTTATGATACTGTAGCAGATTTGGAGATAATCTGTTCTTTAATCTTTGTCATTTATGAATACCTAGACTAAATGGTTTTTACTCAATTTTTTTAGATGAAGTTTTTCCTCTGGTCATTTTAGCAACATTTGTAATTGCCCTGATCGCTGTCTTGCTTGTGGCTACACCGCTTGTTTTTGCCCTGTATCAAGCCTATGCTAAAATGAAATACGTGTTCTTTCCATCATGCCACCCGCCTTTGAACATAGAGGTAAGATGAGATGTATTTTTCTCATTCATTAAGCAGGTGTATTTTTAGAAAAATGAACAGAAAATATTATGAAAAAGTGTTTATCTGTTATCCTGTGGTCTTACGGGTATGCCAAGATTGATTGTATAGATTTTAACAAAGTGCAGGAATTCCTGTGGAAAAAAATGGGTAGTATCAATTTCTAGAATTCTGCGATTAGCCAATATTTTAACTTCTATGTTTTTCTTCTATCTGTGCAAAAGTGTTGCTAACGATCCTTCATTCCAGAGAGTGTGCATGTCTACCCAATGTGATAATGTACTTTTGCCCTGCTGTGTGAGACCAGAAATGTTTTCCCATTGTGTTATCCGGAAGAGCATGCTCTAGCCTTTTTGCCATCCTTTAAAACTCAGAGGAGGCGAAAATGCAAGCCCCGTATTCGGAGGAAATTTTAGTGTAGCAGGCAGCCAGTGCTTCTACCATCTCCTGACCTAGTGGCCTGGATAGTCTCCAAACAGGCAGATGATGTCCAATTTCCAGCTCAGCTTGGCACGGGTAGTACTTAGCCGGGATCCTGTTCTGGAATGAACAGGGCAACACGTAAGTGTAGGTGTATTCTAAAACATAGCAAGAACTGCTTTTCACTGTGCTTCCTTCTGTGTCGCTCAGAACATTGATGTTGAGCAGTGTATGGCCTTCCTAACGTGTGTCACCTTCTCACTGAAGCTCCTAGGACATGTAGTATACAAAGCCTTCTGAATAAAGTTGTAACTTAAAACCAGTCTCATAGTTTACAAGGGCTAATCTGAATTTAATTTATTTGTAAGGGAGCATTTTAGCTGGTTGGTTCAGTAGAATACTGGTAACATAATTAATGCAACGCGTATTTAGAGCCTTTTGTGATGGATTTGATATAAATGACCACTTCAGAGAATAGATTTAAAGCACGTAGGATAGACAGCAGTGCGCTGTTGAGAGCTGTATAAAGCTTGGTATCCCGCTGCAGCAGCTCACTTCCTCTTTCTTCTTTCAACCTTTGCTTTATAACTGATAAAGATTTGTAGACTCTGCAAACACACACCTGTCATTCCCGTGCTACCACGTGATCTTTGAAAGTGTTACAAATGAGGATTTTCCTTTAGTTCTTGTGTGGCCTCATAAGGCTATAATCAATGAAATATTGCAATTACCTAGATGACTGACAACTGCGAGCATAGCGAAAGAGTTAAGATTAACGTTAGAGTCATTCTTTAGTGTTCGATTCTATGAATGCAACTAAACTTCATCCTAACTTTGAGTTTGTGAACTTAAGGAAACAAATGGCATATTATAGGTGGAAAACCTCATGATGCTACTGAGTACGATACACCAGATTTGTACAGCTGTGGCGTTAAGTGGAATCATTTAGGTATTATGTATGAATGTTCACCTCTTTCTTTTCTTCTTCAGGGTTTTGGAGGACAGCTCTTTAGCAGTCCTTATATGTCAACTACAGAAGAACCGATAGCAAATTGTTGTATAATTGAGGCTATCATCACAGAGGAAGTAAATCAAATTGATTTTAAAGACTACAAACATTCTAAACAGAGCAGCCGAGATTCAGGAAATTATTCTAACGATGATGATACTTCAGGGAGCAAAGTGTCAGAAGAAATGCTGGAAAAGGAAATAGTATAACTTTTAAGAAAATAAAATTCATATATGGGACTGGCAGCATAATAAACACTTAACTTTTTTATTACGGAAGTTGCAGCCTAAGGAAGACAGTGTGACTTTGGGATCTTGCGTCTTCAGGTTTCCAAGTCTGCACTTTGTTAGTAGAAAGTTACATGCCCTCTCTGCTGCAAGCTGCCTGAAGTGAAAACACAAGTGACTCCTCGTACCGTGCACCATTTTGACCGACTTTTCATCGTATGGTAACAAGAATACCACCTGCGTAAAGAGGAGCAGATCTGCACACTTTATATACTCGAACGTGATAACCTCAGCAAAAGCCTGCTCTGTTCCACAAGCAGTTTCTTGCTATCTTAGAAGTTTGTTTTGAATGCCAGCGTGTACTGTGACAGAAGCCTTAAATTCCAGTATTGAATCTTACGATGTTTACAGAGGCAGAAGGAAATTGATGCTGGATACAATTTTAGGAACTTTTCTGACGTTCTCTTCCAGCCTCCTCAGGGGCAGTGCTTTTTGGCTTAGCGGGTCCAGAGCAAAAGGTGCAGAGAGACCAACAGTAGCCTCAGTGAGGTGGTTCCTCTGAGCTGCCTTGTAGAATTCCGTGTGGCCATGGCTGCGGGATGCTCCCAGCGTCCACTTGCTTGTTCGTGTATCTGTGTGCCTGCATCAGGGTGCTCTTCTCTCACAGCACTCAGTAATCTCGGCAGGTACGGGGAGGGGAAAAGGCAGGAAGGGGGTTCACTTCACTTGACTATAAAGAAAAATTTCACAGGGGAAGGCCTCTATAAATAGAGGTTGCGTCAAATTGTTTTGCACTGCGTTTAGGATAAAAAACAACAAATGTCCAAGCCAGATGCACGCTGCAAGAAGAAACTGAAGAATGCTGTTACTTCCAATGACAAGGCATGTTGAGAGGCTTACTCTTCATTAATTCCACACACACACACACACCCCCCACGGTTACGTATCCAGAAGTGTAAAATACTTACTTCTAACTGAATTGTATTTAGAAATGTGAATCTCTCTTAACAAGGAGGAAAACTTGGTTCCTTGTAATTACAGAAATAAGTTGAATTTAGAAAATGCCTTTTAACAGAATGGTGAGGACGCTTGTCATTCAAAGCTTTTTCAGCTTAGTCTTATTTTGCCAACAGATTTTTCTTTTGTATAAATTATAAGGATATGCTGCAATAATGTTTCAATTTGCATACCACTTTCTTCTGAAGTAATTTTCTGAAGTAGCTTATTTTTTTACGAAGCAATTGATTTAGAGTAAACTGGTTTTGAGCTTCACGTGGGCTGTTTATTGTAACAAGCAACTGTTGGTGTTTATATTTTTTTTTTAAATTTTGAAGATGTGATCTAATTTTATAAATTTTATGTCCCTGTGTTCATTGAAGAACATAATAAATTTTGCACATTTACTACTTTATCCCTTTCTTGGTTCCATATATTTTTAACGTAGCGACATTGAAGCTACACCATGGATACTTAGGAAGTTCCCATGTGTGCTGGTTTTGGCTGGGGTAGAGTTAATTTTCTTCGTAGTAGCTCGTATGGGGCTGTGTTTTGGGTTTGTGCTGAAAACAGTGTTGATAACACAGGGATGTTTTCGTTACTGCTGAGCAGGGCTTACACAGAGTCAAGGCCTTTTCTGCT